GCTCTAAAATGTTCACCATCACTGATCTTGGCTCACATGAATAATAGGCATTTCCATTAAGTCATTATAAACAAAGATATATAGTTAAAAGGGTACAGTTGCTTTTAGGATTATGAATAAGTGATATAAAGTATTCTGCTGTAAGCACAATAAGAACCAAAATAAATGTTATGGCTATCTGACAACAGGATAAGTAAAAAGAGAGGAAAATACAGGATGAGATGACACTAAAGCAAAAGTAGAAATGTGTAAATAACCTATTAAGAAACCTACCCTTAACTGAAAGTGTAAATAAGGATCAAAAGGCATAATAGATATTGTGAAATAGGAAGAAAAAGCCCAAAGGGGAAAGGGAAGTGGGAGGGGTTAGGGAAAGGAAAAGAAGGGAATGGAGTTAATATGAACAAAAGAAAAAATGGAAACAAAGTCTATGTAAATGGGGGGAGGGGTTTAAGGGAGGGCAGGGGAATGGGGAAAAAATAAGAACCAAGATAGATCATGTAAAGGTACAAATTTCCAGTGATGAATGTCATAATATTGTATACCTAAAATGTACCAATAAAATTAATTTAAAAAGAAAACTACCCTTGTGAAACTTCGTAGTGTTGGGAAATTGCTTGACACTGGATACTAACAACTCCAGAGGCTTTCTATATTAAAGTCCATTTGTGAACGACAATCTCCAATTAAGCAAGAAATAAAGATCAAAAATAAGCCCAGCCATGCTTAAGAAGCAATATTCTCCACTTCTAGATGATAGCAAATTTTGCTATACGGGTTTTCAAGGTTCAACAGAAAACAGAGCACAGTAAATCCATCATCATTTCACAGATCTTTCTGAGTGCAGAGACAAAGGGAAGGGAAAGGAACTGCAAGGCCTAAGGAGGGCTGCTCCACGGGATGACACCATTGCCAAGGGCCAAGAAAGAAAGGACAGAACTCCAAAGAATTTTCAAAAATGAAGATGAAGCCACAAGAAATCTGAAGGTTTCCTGGTCAGATATAAGCTCCTTCAAGCACTCTGTGATGCTCAATAAAAGGTCAGGAATGTCTTTTAGTTATTTAAAAAGAAATTCTTGTGCAGCAAGCCTGGGGTAGAATTTCCCGACATAAATGCTATGAAAGTGTCTAGTCTGTGGCTATTATTCCATAAATACTAATGAGTTTTTAATGTAACAGAAGAGGCTGAATGCATTAAGGTGTTGCACAGCAATAATGGTGGCTGCTTTTAGCATACTAGAAGCTGCAAAATTAAGGGTCTCTTCAAGTACAAAGGAAAAGAAAAAAGTTTTCTTGGGATGCTATAAATACTCCAAGAACTTCTGCTGTTGTTACAATCTTTTCTGGATCTTCTGAACTGAAATTGCCTTAGATCTAGTAGCTCTTCCTTTTCACGCTCCTCAAACCTGACACATCTCTATCATTTAAAGACAAAAGTTAAAAGACATTCAGCACCAAGTTCAACAATTTGAGAAACACAGTTAAAAAGCGATTTGAATGGCTGGGCGTGGTGGCACATGCCTGTAATCCTTGAAGAAACCTTGAAAAATCACCTAGCTACAATGCTTCCTAAAGTAGTAACCTCTTCTACAATCTAGACTCCTCCAAAGACTTATCTTTGCTCTTCTTAGATGGAAGTCCCTTTAGGAGCTGGAGGATGAGCAACTTCATTAATCCCCTACTATGCTCATGGCCCTCTGATTTGATGCACCTCAAGCCACCAATACCTTGAGAAACCAAATTGGTTGTTTAGTGTTCTGGACATTAAATCTGCTAACTGGACTGGGGACTAGTGTCCAACCATAGGTTGGCTATATGAGGCATCAACTCACTCTGAAGTGGTTTATCCCCAAACTCTGCCCAATAAGGGAAGCTTTGAATATCAAGGTCGAAAACCCACTGTTACAGAAGCAAACGCTAGGTACACACAAGCCCAGGTCTGGCTCTATTCCTTTACAACACTGGGCTATGGTTTCAGTTCTTTAGCATGGAAACACTGAGTCAGCAATGACACTGAGGAAGCTTTAATGGCTCCCTACTGCTTGACTTCTTAAACACCCTATACTAAGCACTGTTGGGAAATGAGATCTGTGTGTCTCTTCCTTATAGAAGTATTCCATCGCTTTCATGCTGAACTAGCTGCAACTGTCATCTACTTCGATTCAGCTATTGAAGTTCTGTTTCTAGAATTCCAACTATCACATGATATTGTTGTTCATGTTTTCACTCAACCATAAGTCCTCCCTCCTCCACAGGTCTATCAATGGACCCTTACCGGATGGTTGATTTCCTGTGAGCTAGACACTTCAGTAAGACTTCATCTCTCCTGAAGGATCCCTATCTGGGCATCTCCCTCCAAGCACCATATAAGCAGGACATGACTGACCGGTACTATGACTATCTTGTTCTGCTTTTAAGTTCCACAACCATTTTTAGTAACCCTGTTACAATCTCAGCTTATACTACATTGTGCTTAATTAAAACATCTATGTATTTTTCTCTTGTAAATCACAGTCAAGCTTATACTTACATAATAGGTTTTTAAATCTGTACAGTGATCCGTACATTTCTGTTCATGTTTATCTACTGGACTTCAGCTCTATCACATCCTGCTTCTATTATGCCTGACAGAAGATAGTTCTCCTCGGTCATGGTCAGTTATGAATTCCAAAAGCATAAGGTTTTTTTATCCAAGTCATGAATAGATATGCTGAATAGAATACAATCAAGGACAGAAAACAATGAGACAGCACCAGATGTTCTCCTGTGCCCTCCTCTGATTGGAATGGGCACGCTGGGGTACAGCAGCCACAGAGAAGGCAGAGGCACCTACAGGGATCCATGCATTTCCTTCTTCTTAGAAAAGTGGAGAAAAAGAATTGAAATGAAGACACTGATTGTTATAAGTTATACTTCAGGGTTACAGAGTCCTTTTAGGCATAGCTTTAGGTTGCCATTTCATTCTCAGAAGCTTAGTGGAATCAGAGTGGCAAACTGTATGAAAAATAGCATTTAAATGCCCTACTTTAGAGAAATAGGGTCAATCTCAGCTCTTAATCTATTTTAAAACAGCTATTAGAGCTACACTGTCTTGCGGGAAAGGAAAATGGAAGGGGTTATCCAATTGGGGTGTGAAAACAAGGAGGAAATGCCAAGCATTTCTTATGCAAGATTTTTTCCACTAGAACACCTATGAGGGAAATTATATGCAAGTAAATATGGTGAGTGGATAGAGAGGCAAGTCCTAAGGTATAAAGCCATTAAAAAATACTTTCCATACCACAGACATCAAATATCAGATTTCACAATTTATCAAAGCACTAAATGAAACTTGGTAAAGGTTTAAGCCTCCTGAAGTCTCTTTTACGAAACAAACAAATATTCATGTGACACACTAAATCTCTTTTCTAACATTATGTGTCTAAGAATATCACTGTAAAAGATGGATAAAAGATATATACTAAATGGAAAAAAACCCACATTTGGTATAAATCCATATAATTTAGGTATATGAAACTCAGAAAATAGAGACAAGCACATTATTTTCCATAGACTTAAATCTTTTTTTTTCTTCTAGAGGCAACAAATGTTCTCTCTCCCTCTCTCCCTCTATCTCCTTTTTTGTGATACTTGGAAACAAATCCAGGACCTTGAAAGCACTCTACCACTGCACTCCATCCCTCCCCAGTTTACACCTTTTTCTAATTCAAACTCATTAGGAAGAATAATTAAATTAGCTTACTGACTGATCCAGGAGGCCCTGGGTATCCAAGAATGATGAGGACCAGTGAAAACATTATTTTAACATTTACTACGTAATGGACTGACTAATTTACAGAGGAAGTCTCAGGCTATGTATACTTTATTTTCAAAAGATTATCTTTAGTATAATCAGAAAGCAAAATTAAAACTTTTGATACACTGATAAATAGTGAGTACAGTACAAAGATCTACATTTCTAAATATTAATGTCAATATGAATTATTACAAGGCCCTAAGCCAGCAACTACTCATTATGGAGAAAAACATGAAAAAAATTTAGGTCTAGTACACAGGGTTAATGTAATACAAGCAAGGAGCATCAAATTGGGGTTGGTAAGAACTGCAGCTAGAATATTTGAGTTATCCAGATCCCTAAACTAGTGATGATAAAATCCAATCCACGGGATCACTGCAGGGATCAAAGAATGATGCAAGTAAAAGGTACCTATATAGACCTAAGAATTAAACTTTTTTTCTAGTAGAGAGTAAGGTCCTTAAAATTACAGTTAATCTTAGCTTTTTTATGCCTTTTATCTAGTAAAATCTCAGACTCACTGCTTGCATGAATAGCTGGACGAAACAGATTTTATAATATGGAAATGTAAGCTTAAGATAGTTTAAACTAAAATATAAAAGCATATAAAATATCAATGGGCCACATATACTTATATATTTGTCCATTCTATGTGTATAATGTACATAAGAAAATACAAGTATGTACAGCCATGCACTGCTTAGTGATAAGAACATGTTTTGAGAAATGTGTCATTAAGTATAGCACGCACTTAGAATTATGTCATCACTAGGAGTTATAATTTTATGGGGCTCGTATCATATATGCAATCTATCATTGACTAAAACATCATTATATGGTATAGTATATGTGATATGACAGTTCAATATATTATGTCTGCAGAAAATATAAGTGAAATGTGATCTTTTAATGCAATCAGTCACAATCAAAACACTTAAGATTTGCTGAAGTGAAAAGCAAATTTTTACTCTTGAGTGTTTACATAACTTAGATGTTCACTGCAGTGTGTTGCTATTCCTGTCAAATATATTGTCATACATGAATACTCATTATCAAACCTTCCTGAATGCAGTTTGAATTTTATTTGCAATGCAAACATACTGTATCAAAATCAGTGTCCTCACTTTGACAATTTATATCTACTTGCAAATTATATCAATTTTGTAAATGAAAACTCTAGGAAAATTGAAAGAAGAAGAGTTACCTAGGTCTGTAGAGGCAGTAGCATAGGTGTTTTGTTTGAACTTTTTTGGCTTGAATGAATATTCTCATACAAGGGTCAAAATACAGCACAGATGCGTAGGCTCTGAAAGACCACGTCTCTGGAAATCTGCAAGAGAAAATACCGAAGGCCACAATGCAGAGGATTCAACACTGATTTCTCTTTAGAATAAAAAATCAGTCAGCTTCAGGAAGCTTCAGAAAATTTTCTTCTAAAATGAATGAGGTCACAAACACAAGGAAATCTTGCAACACTCATTTCATTAAACAGCCTCTAAATACAAGGTCCTACACAAATTACCTACACTTTAGTTAGAACTAAACTTTTTCCTCATACCATGTGATGCTAAGTAGGCTTATACAATCAATAGAAAATGTACTTTCCTTAAAGCAACTGGCTAAGAAGCACAAAATCAAGTCAAGTAAACAAAACAACTCACCCCTCCCATTCAAACATCACTAAAAGAATCTAGGCCAGTGGTGGAAAACCTACGGCACATAGGCCACAGCAGACTGTTTTTGTCACTGAAAGCTCTAAAATGTTCACCATCACTGATCTTGGCTCACATGAATAATAGGCATTTCCATTAAGTCATTATAAACAAAGATATATAGTTAAAAGGGTACAGTTGCTTTTAGGATTATGAATAAGTGATATAAAGTATTCTGCTGTAAGCACAATAAGAACCAAAATAAATGTTATGGCTATCTGACAACAGGATAAGTAAAAAGAGAGGAAAATACAGGATGAGATGACACTAAAGCAAAAGTAGAAATGTGTAAATAACCTATTAAGAAACCTACCCTTAACTGAAAGTGTAAATAAGGATCAAAAGGCATAATAGATATTGTGAAATAGGAAGAAAAAGCCCAAAGGGGAAAGGGAAGTGGGAGGGGTTAGGGAAAGGAAAAGAAGGGAATGGAGTTAATATGAACAAAAGAAAAAATGGAAACAAAGTCTATGTAAATGGGGGGAGGGGTTTAAGGGAGGGCAGGGGAATGGGGAAAAAATAAGAACCAAGATAGATCATGTAAAGGTACAAATTTCCAGTGATGAATGTCATAATATTGTATACCTAAAATGTACCAATAAAATTAATTTAAAAAGAAAACTACCCTTGTGAAACTTCGTAGTGTTGGGAAATTGCTTGACACTGGATACTAACAACTCCAGAGGCTTTCTATATTAAAGTCCATTTGTGAACGACAATCTCCAATTAAGCAAGAAATAAAGATCAAAAATAAGCCCAGCCATGCTTAAGAAGCAATATTCTCCACTTCTAGATGATAGCAAATTTTGCTATACGGGTTTTCAAGGTTCAACAGAAAACAGAGCACAGTAAATCCATCATCATTTCACAGATCTTTCTGAGTGCAGAGACAAAGGGAAGGGAAAGGAACTGCAAGGCCTAAGGAGGGCTGCTCCACGGGATGACACCATTGCCAAGGGCCAAGAAAGAAAGGACAGAACTCCAAAGAATTTTCAAAAATGAAGATGAAGCCACAAGAAATCTGAAGGTTTCCTGGTCAGATATAAGCTCCTTCAAGCACTCTGTGATGCTCAATAAAAGGTCAGGAATGTCTTTTAGTTATTTAAAAAGAAATTCTTGTGCAGCAAGCCTGGGGTAGAATTTCCCGACATAAATGCTATGAAAGTGTCTAGTCTGTGGCTATTATTCCATAAATACTAATGAGTTTTTAATGTAACAGAAGAGGCTGAATGCATTAAGGTGTTGCACAGCAATAATGGTGGCTGCTTTTAGCATACTAGAAGCTGCAAAATTAAGGGTCTCTTCAAGTACAAAGGAAAAGAAAAAAGTTTTCTTGGGATGCTATAAATACTCCAAGAACTTCTGCTGTTGTTACAATCTTTTCTGGATCTTCTGAACTGAAATTGCCTTAGATCTAGTAGCTCTTCCTTTTCACGCTCCTCAAACCTGACACATCTCTATCATTTAAAGACAAAAGTTAAAAGACATTCAGCACCAAGTTCAACAATTTGAGAAACACAGTTAAAAAGCGATTTGAATGGCTGGGCGTGGTGGCACATGCCTGTAATCCTAGCACTCAGGAGGCTGAGGCAGGAGGATAGCTATGAGTTCGAGACCAGCCTGGGCTACATAGTGAGTTCCAGGTCAGTCTCAACTACATAGTGAGACCCTGTCTCAAAAACCAAAAAAAAAAAAAGTGATTTGCATATACAGTTTTGAGGTATACATATGTTTGCAGACATACATATTTATATTTATAACATGAACAATAATATTTCTTTTTGACAATTCAATTTTTGGCTCATTCAATAAAGATTTATGGGTAAATACTCATAGCATGCATGCTGGGAACACTCAAGAACTCTATGTTACAAGACTCACTGGAAGGACTCATTGGTCTCAGCACATAGTTGTACATGGCTAAGATTTATGCCAGATGCAGTAAAGAAATACAGAGGTTCATAGGAGAAAAGGTAGGTGGAGTTCGCTTCTGGAGGAATCCATCCACTGGCTTTCTTATGTTCTCTTCTTCTCATGAAAGGGCACACAGACAACACTCTTCCCCAGCAATGAAATGATGCAATATTTCCCAGGTATCTGCCTAGGAAAGCTTCTTAAGTGACCCAGTATTGAAGGCAGCTTTTGAATGGAGCATTATCAAAGCTCATAGTCACAGAAGCAAAATGGGTTGTCAGAATAAGACATCCTGTCCACATAATCTAGACATACAACTCACCCTTAGCAGTTAGAAAAAGTTTTTACAGCAGTGTTGGGAACTGTTTATTACTCAAGTTGTCGAAAGCCAGCCATGAGCCAACTTTACAAGAATCCTATGAACAGGTATCTGCTCTGTTCTGTCTTTTCTACTTACATGCCTATTTTTGCAAGCTCCTGTTTTTGTGTGACAAACAAAATGGTAATATTTCTAATCTGTGGGGTCTGTGATAGAGAGAAAACAAAGAAGGCTAATTATGAACACTGTAAATCTCAAACTTCTTATGATGACGCATAAGGTCCTTCATGATTTGGTTCCTAAACCCTCCAGCCTCTGTTTATTTGTGACAAACAAAATGGTAATATTTCTAATCTGTGGGGTCTGTGATAGAGAGAAAACAAAGAAGGCTAATTATGAACACTGTAAATCTCAAACTTCTTATGATGACGCATAAGGTCCTTCATGATTTGGTTCATCTAAACCCTCCAGCCTCACCTCTTCCCAGATTCAGTCAGCCATTTTACGACCATTCTCAGTTCCCACCGCAGCACCAGGCTTTCTCATCCTTAAGCTGCAGCATATCCAATGCTTTGGTTACTCTTCATTAGCAACTTTTCATCCCTTGGGATGCAACCTTGAGGCCTCACTTCCTCTTAAGGCTCCTCTTGAGTGGAAGACCTCTCCTCTGTGCCTCTTTTCACAGCCCTGGCCATTCATCCATCATCAGTGTTTGCCCGTTTCCCTATCAGGCTATAAACTAAGGAGGCTGGCATCCTCTCAGATCAATGCTTGTTGAGTGAATGAGATTCATTCAGGACTATTTTGGCTTAATTTAGAATGAACACCAAAGGATTTCTTATAGAAGAAAATGGTTTTTAACAAAAGATCAGCTTTGCTGACAATGCTATCAGTCTTTATAGATAAAGTCATTCTGTTGAAAACTGACAATTGTGCTCAAGATGGAAGAAAAAAAATTATTCTCCACTCATAAGGAACTGCTTCATATACAGTGTTTCTCTTTCATTTTTGTAGAAATTGAAAAAAGAGAAAGGAAAAACTTATCAACACACACAGACACAGAATCACATAACAGACATGAAAATGATAGTATTTTAAGGCAGAAACTGGATTCTCAGCCTGTGGAATACGGGAGCATGAGACAGAATATGACAAGAATAGACAAAACAGGCAAAACAGAATTAATGTTACTGCCTCCTGCCTAGCCTTGGATGTTCAAAGTCAAGTCTCCAATTTAGCCTCTAGCTGTGGCTTTGACCTCTTTCGCTCTCAACCTATACACAATATCCTCCTGATTTTTTAAATATTGCTTTATGCATGGGATATCATGGGTTGATTGGCACAATGTGATCACAAAACAGCATTATGGGTGCAACGTGGGCCAGAAGGTGAGACTCTGTGGCCAGTCACATCTCCTCTATCTACTGATTCAGATGTTCAGGGGCTGGAGTGTGAGAATGTGAGATTTCTAAAGCTACCCCAGCATTTTTTTTAACTCTGCCAGGTTTGGAAATTACTGCCCCATAGACTGAGTGAACAGGTGGTATATAACACAAGTTAACTAAAAGACAAAAACAGACTTACAGGTATGTAGAACTAGGTCATCAGCCAACAAATATACCCCTTGAATTTATCCACACTGGGCACACAGACAACAGATCCAATCTAGCCCAACAACCGACCTGCCCTTGTGCTATGATGTGAGTGTTACCATAAAAACTCAGGTAGAAATTCAATCCCTGTTGTGGAACCATGTGACAGGTAACTGATTGTCTCAACCTGAGTAAGAACTGCCCAACTAAATTGGATCAGCACAGTTCTCTGTGTGGCTGAGGAGATTTACTGAAGATTTGCTGGGATTTACTGGGTGTGAGTGACAAGAATTAATGGGCTTGTCGCCTAAGTAGTATAAAAGGAAAACAAAAGGAAGTCTCACTTCTGTTTCTTAGCAGGAGCTCCAGTCTTCACCTTCACCTTGGACATCATCACTTGGCTTCCAGCTCAGACTCTGTAGGCTTGCACTGCAGACCTTTCAGACTCCTGATAGAGATTTGCATCTGACACTATAACAAGCTCCAGGACTTCAACTGAATCCTTCAGATCTCCAGCACACAAACAGACCTTGTGCACTCTTCCACACCTGATTCTGTGGGTGGCCACTGTAAGCCCAATCTTGTAATTCTTATATATTTGTATATCTTGCCTTAAATCTGTTTCCCTGGTAAGCACTGACTGATACAGATTTGGGAATCTAGAGTGGGGCCATTTCTGTGACATTACCTGACCATATAATTCTGGTTATCTTTACAACTGGCTCGTGGAAAGAGCTTGTAAAGGTTTGGAGATGCCAGCTGAAGAAGTAGGCCTGGAATGCTTAGCTGTACT